TGTGGTGGTCTAGCCAGGTGCCTTCTCCCTGATCTTCGTCTACTCCCTTGACTACGGCCGTACTCGCCTTTCCCAACGACAAACGAGAACGAGAAGAAGGGACGGCACCCGCACAGTTCACCGGCCTCGTCGACGTGTACCGCAAGACCATCGCCTCTGACGGTGTTGCCGGCCTCTACCGTGGCTTTTGTCATCTCCTGCGTTGGTATCATTGTGTACCGCGGCTTTCTAATTTGGTCTGTACGATTCCCTCTGTGAGTTTGTGTGTGTGTGTGTGTGGTAGCGCAAGGTGGTCGAGGCACATCCACACACAAAGCGGCAGGTACTGGGCGCCCAACCCATGTTCCACAGGCATATGGAAGCATAGAAGCACGGAAGCACAGAAGCAACACACCCTGAAGGCTGTTGAGGCCTGTTTGGGTGCCTTCATTGCAAAGTCCCGGCGAAGAGCGGAAGCATATGAGCGCACTGAACGCATCATGATTTGCTGCAAGCTACTCAGGTGGCCCCTTCATCCTCAGCTGTGGAATCTTCGCAATTGTCAAATCAGAACCGGCTGAGAAAGGAGGGGGAGGAAGGGGAAGACGAGGAGCATGACAGGAGGCGGGGGGGGCGTCAGCGACGGTGGGAGGCAGAGCAGCAGAAGCGCGAGGTGAACACAGACATGAGGGTGCAACACACACACACACACACACACACACACACACACACACACACACACACACACACACACACACGCACACACACACACACACACACACACACACACACACGTGCACTTGTACACAGGGTCCACGCAGCGCAGGGCGGAGTGTTCTGTACAAAGCCAAACCAAGGCCCACCATGCGCACGGGGAAATGTGCGGACGTGCAGATGAGCAAGCGTGCAGACGAGCAAGACACACTGCACTCACTCGGCACTCTGGCACTATGCGAAGAATGAGCTCATATGTAAAGTCATCGAAGATGAGCGCAGCAGGGGCTTCCTGTGGACGTTGTAACACACCAAAACAAAGCAAATCACAGCGCAGAAGAGGAGAAACAGAGAGAGAAAATGTGTGTGTGTGTGTGTGTAGAATGACATGGACACATTGGATACAGACATACACAGAGACACAGACAAGCACACCAAACCACAGCACAACACGACACAGCACAGCACGATTCACGCAGAGTGCAAAGCCAAAAGTGCTCGCGCAACATACCCCCCCCTCTCCACGCCGCTCTCAAACAAAGCAGCAATCAACTCCCTCAACTCCCTCAACTCCCTCAACTCCTCAACTCCGCTCAGGCTGTATCCTGTGTGTAAGTGTGTATCACATCACACCTTGCGGGTGTTCTGGAGGGCCTGGAGAAGGCGCACAAACTGCCTGTGGCTGGCTTCGTGGATTTGCAGCAGGTTCAGGCTGCTTGGGTTGTTGAGGTGGGAGTTTGGGTGCTGCTTCACGGTGCGGCGGGCGGCTGCCGTTGTTGTCCCTGCAGCGGAGGCGCTTCCATTGGTCGAAGTGGACGACATGGTGTGGTGCTGTGTGGTGTGTGGTGTGGTTTTGGTTTGTGGTGAGGATTGTTTTGTGGAAAGCTGTCAATGTTGCGAGTGGAGTAGAGATGAAGAAGACAATTTGTGCACCAGAAGTCACAACACAGTTGATGTTGTTACTTGCACTCATGGCCGAGTGGTTAAGGCGAACGACTAGAAATCGTTTGGGCTCTGCCCGCACAGGTTCGAATCCTGTTGGGTGCGCATTTCTTTTTTTTTGGTGTGTGTGTGTGTGTTTCAACAAAGGACAGGAGGGCACCGACTGCGCCTCTTGTGTCGCCAGTGTACTGCACACAGAGAGAGAGAGACAGAGAGGGAGAGAGGGAGAGAGGGAGAGACAGAGAGAGAGATAAGGAGACAAGCTCTCCGTAGTTGTGTTGTCTTGTTCTACTTGTGTTCTTGAACAGTTGAACTACAGAACTACGTACAAGTAGTACGAGCAGTGGAAATAATCGTTCGGGCTTTGGGCTCTCTTGTGCCCTAGCCGTGCCTGAGCAGTGCCCTGCCATTCGGCCCGCACAGCATCAAATCATGTTCGCTTGTTTGGGGGTGCCTGCGCCTCTTTGCATTTGTTTGCTACTCCCCTTCTTTCGCTCTTCTTCTCACTGTCACACGCAATTTAATTTCACATCGTCGAAAACCACTGATTGACAGTCCTCCTTGCATATGCATTTTCGCTTTGTGCGGTTTGTCCGTGTCAGAGCATGTCACCCTATCTATCATGTCACCCCATAAACCCCGCACACATACGTCCTTACGTCCCCCCCCCCTGTCAGGAAGGAGAAGCCCGTGTCAGCCGCACGTGGTGCCAGTACGCACTTGTTTCACGCGATGACACACAGTGGGCACCTGCTTCCATGAAAGTGGGCCACTTGCCACTGTGTTGAACTTTGACTCTCTCCTCTTTCTCGGAAGCACGCAGCAAAGTGCACGAATCAAACTTGCCACCTGCGTCATGAATTAGCCTGTGAGCGAGGGTAATCGCTAGCAAGCCCAACAGGCTCACCAGCAAACTGACATGCAACAGTGCCTTGTCCCCACGCCAAGCCAAGTGGCAAAGTGCAATGGCCTGCCAAGCCCAGCACTTGCACAGTATGTAGCAGAACTGCAACGATACAGCACAGGCGTGCATTTACACAGCAATAACAGCACCCCCAACAACCACGACAGACCAACAGACCAACGCCCTCCCCACTCATCGTACTCATTCAAGTGCTCACCACCGCAGTAGCCCCACAGTGTTCTTTTGACCGCCTCCTTTCAGCCACATCACACATCACACAGCACGTCCGTTTTGCAAGGGTGCCTTAGCTTCCTGTCCCTCTCCGCCATGTCTGCCAAATCACAGGCTGCCAACAGCCGTGTGTTGGACGCTACGTGCCTTTCCGCCTCTCGCCTGTCCTCGACCTTCTCCTTGGACCTGTCGAGCCTGGACGCACTCGCGGGCGCAACAAGCACATCCGACCTTGAAACACCGTGCTTTGCGACAGAAGAGCTAGGCAGCCTGCTCATGGCATCCGCCTACTCCACCAGCACGCACAACAAGCAAACACAGCACCTCAAGTGCATCGCAGCCGGCATTTCCAGCCACGCCAGGACCGTCCCTGGCAGCAGTGCTCAGGGCAGCGAAGCAAGTGCAGACGATGGCCTGCATGGCATCGCGCGTGATGCTAATGATGACACCACGCCAAGCAGCCAGGGCAGCTACGCCAGCCCCGCAGGGTATCCGACCAAACACGCGCGCGCAGCAACAGCAACAGCAGCAACAGCGGGATTGGTAGCCACCTGTGCGATGCCCCAGCCTTACATCATCCCTGGCACGTCGACAGGCAGCGAAGGCGCGAGGGACACGCTCAAGTGCATGAAGGACATCTTCGACGCGACACAGAACGCGAGACTGTTCGCGTGTATTTCGAAGGATGCCAAGGACGATATGCGCGCATGGTGCCTTGGGGATGGGCAGGCGCTCGTGCAGGACGTGGAGGATCTTGGTGGCAAGGACACGCTTGAGCTGGCACAGTTGCAGCATCAGCTGGGGTCAGTGCTGGATGCGCTTGGCGAGCACGATCGCGCCATCGCACACTACACCAGCGCCCTCGCAATCACGCGGAAGGTGCTTGGTGAAAGGCACGCCGGCACAGCGTGCATGTACAACAACCTCGGCACCGTGTTTATGACGAAAGGCAACTTTGAGCAGGCCATCACCAACTACCACCAGGCCCTCAACATCAAGCGCAGCGTGCTCGGCGAACAGCACCCGAGCACCGCCACCACATACAGCAACCTCGCCCTCCTGCTGGAGACCACGGGTGACAGCGCCGCCGCCACACAGCACCATCACAAGGCCCTGAGCATCCGCCGCCGCAGTCTTGGCGAGACGCACCCCAGCACGGCCGCATCGTACAACAACCTCGGCCTCACCTACCAGAGCACGGGCGACCACGACGCGGCCATCCAGTGCTTGCTCAAGGACCTCAAGATCACCATCGCCAACGTCGGCCATCGGCACCTGCACACGGCAGCGTCCCTTGGCAACCTGGCCAACGCGTACAGCGATAAGGGCGACTATGCAGCCGCGCTGGAGCACCACCACGCCGAGCTTGACATCAAGATGCAACTGCTTGGCCTGGCGCACCCGGACACGGCCGACACTTACAACAACATGGCAGGCGCATACACACGGAAGGGCGACTTCAGCCAGGCCGAGAGCTGCTACAGGCGCGCAATCACGGCTTATCGCGCGTCTCTTGGCGACAACGACCTCCGCACCGCTGAAGCGCACACGAACATGGGCATCATGTACGAGCACAAGGGCGATCTCAAGGCGGCGGCGCGCACGTTCAAGATTGCGCATGCCATGATCGTTGCTGTTCTCGGCGACACAGACGATGCCACACAAACAGCGTTTGCCCGCCTGCAGCGTGTTGCTCGACGACGCGCCAGTGCACCAGTCGTCTTGCCTCTGCTCCCTCATGTGATCGTGGTGTGAGTGTGTGTGTGTGTGTGTGTGTGTGTGTGTGTGTGAGTGTGTGTGTGTGTGTGTGTGTGTGTGTGTGTGTGTGTGTGTGTGTGTGTGTGTGTGTGTGTGTGTGTGTGGTACGGTGATTGCGTCTTGATTCCCTGTAGTTGCGCTGAGATGTTGGGTGCAAAAGACCTTGACAGCTGTTCGATTCCTCTATGCATGCAACACAATGACCCACAGAAGCACGTGCTGGCTGGGTGTTCCTTGATTGGTTGGTGTCTCTCACTACGCGCTTCATCTCAACGATTAAATTGCTAACATCGACTTGAGGCAGTACCACCACTGAGCGCCGCGCAATCACACATCCAGACAAGCGAATACAGCAACAACAATGAACCACACTGCTTGGGCCTTCGTGTTGGTGTGCGGGGGGGGGGTCTGTAAAGAATAATGATGCTTTCGCCATGGATACAATGGAACACTTGACGACTCCCCTGTGCTCTGGTTGAACGCTCGTCCACCTCATACCCATGCTTTTCCTCTCCTCACGCGCTCCTAACGCCCATCATGCTCAATGTTCACTTTGGGTGAAGTTGAGAGCGTGTGATATTGCCACGCTGGAGGAAGCATGCGCGTGTGCAGGAGAGAGGGTTCGAGAAGAAGGCAAGCAAGGGAGTCGTGTAAAACCGACATAGTGAAACCATGAACATCATCACAAGCTCACGAGGAGCCACATACACGCATGCAAGTCGTTGTTGGTGGGTTGGCTGGGATGCGAGAAACAAAGCAGAGGCAAACAAGGGAAGCGAGTCGGTGTGCATGAGTATAGGGTCGCATTGTAGTGGACGTGTTAGAGCTGCGGTGTTCACCGCTTGCCGGGAGTGGCTGCCGCAGTTGTTGCAGCTGTCGTCGAGAGGCTGTCCTTCTTTGACTTGTCGTCGTTGCTGTTTGGGTTGGTGCCGCCATTGCCTTCGTTGTCGTTCTTGTCCTTGTACCGGTTGTTGTCGTTCGTGTTTGGTTCGTTGCCTGTGGCTGTGGTGGGGTTGGTTGTGGTGGTGGTGGTGGTTGTGGTTGCAGCTGTGGCTGTTGCAGTCGTCGAGAGGCTGTCCTTCTTTGACTTGTCGTCGTTGCTGTTTGGGTTGGTGCCGCCATTGCCTTCGTTGTCGTTCTTGTCCTTGTACCGGTTGTTGTCGTTCGTGTTTGTCGCGTTGCCTGTGGCTGTGGTCGTGCCTGTTGTGAGTGTTGTCGAAGGGACAGACGTTGCTGTGGTGGAGCTTGCAGTTGTCGATGCGGTGCTGTTGTTGGAGCAGGCATCGATACTGTCTTTCTTTGACTTGTCGTCGTTGCTGTTTGGGTTAGTGCCACCATTACCATTGTTGCTGTTCTTGTCTTTGCAACGGTTGTTTGTGTTGCTCTTCGTGCTACCACCAGTGGCAGTTGCTGCAGCAGGCGTCGTGGTAGTGGTAGTGGTTGTTGTTGTTGTTGTTGTTGTTGTTGTTGTTGTTGTTGTTGTTGTCGTAGTACTCGTGGTTGTTGTCGTAGTACTCGTGGTTGTCGTCGTAGTACTCGTCGTGGTACTCGTCGTGGTACTCGTTGTTGTTGTTGTTGTTGTTGTTGTTGTAGTAGATGTTGTAGATGTTGTTGTTGTTGTTGTTGTTGTAGATGTTGTTGTAGATGTTGTTGTTGTTGTTGTTGTTGTTGTTGTTGTTGTTGTTGTTGTTGTTGTTGTTGTACTCCTTGTTGCTGTTGTTGTTGTACTCCTTGTTGCTGTTGTTGTTGTTGAACTCGCTGTTGTTGTTGTTGTTGTTGTTGGTGAACTCGCTGTTGTTGTTGTAGTAGTAGTTGTTGTTGTTGTTGTGGTTGTTGTACCCATTGTTGCTGCACTCGTGGTTGACGTTGTAGCCGCTTCACTGGTCGTCGCCTTCTTTGTTGGCGTTGCTGTCGCAGTGGGCGTGCTTGTGGTACTGGTGCTTGTGCTTGTGAAGGTACTGGAGCTGCTTGTGCTGCTGAACGTTGTCGTGGATGCCGCACCCTTTCCATCGTGTGCAGTGGATGTTGAAGACATTGCGGACCCAGTCGCCTTCGTTGCGTTTGTGAGATCACAGTTCACGTCCGCGGTTGCAAACGCACAGCGCTCCCTGCAAGTGTGTGCGAGCACCATCGCACAGCATTATCGTGAGCGACATGTGATTCACCGGAGCAAAGCAGTGTAGGCAAACTATCCTCCTGACTGATCGAGGAGTGTTCACTCTCATAGCAGAAGACACATGGCATTTCGAGTCCAATGCAAGCAGAGCAACCAAGCCAGGAATCGATTCGTACCAGCACTGTAGCTTGTACAGTTCTTCGACAGGGCCGGTAACACTGCCGCATGGGCCATCCTCGCAGCTTGACATGCACGCGCCCAGTGAGAGCAGCGCGACCGTCGTATGGTGTTCGTCCCGTGTGAGGCATGAAACAAAGTCATCCAGGGAGACACCACCAACGCTCTGGAAGCGATGTCACACATAAAGGGAACAAGGGTATCAGGTGAGGTGGGTGTAGAGAAGAGTGAGGTGCAGACAAAGGCCTGTGGACTCTGGGAGCGAGTGCGTGTGTCAAGAGTGACAAAGAAGCAAAGGGCCTAAAGGCGTGTCTACACTCAACAAGAGCAGCTAGAAGCAGCTGAGCAGAGCTGAATGAATGCATGGGCTACATGCATGCATCAGTGAACAAATGAATGAGGAGCACACAACAGTGAGCAAGACCATCTTTCCTCTGCTGTTTTCACTTACCATGCCCACACACTCATGTATGTGCTCCTCGCAGGTTTGCGTGCACCCGGCCTCTGTCTGAATGGCTGCTTCCGTGTCCGTATTGGACGTGCTATCTTGAGACGCATCGTTGTCGTTTTCCTTCGCTGGCGGGCGTGAAACGTAGATGATGGGCACCGCACAGATTGCCGCAACGGCGATGATGCCAACGCAGAAGAAGAGGCCACAACGGCGCCGCTTCCTGCGCCGCTCGCGCTCCAGCTGCAGTTCTTTCAGCTGACGCTGACGTTCCTCGTCAATCAGATATGGCTCAGTGTCAAACTCGTACGTCTGCGGCATGATGCACTGTGATGCCCAGTGGCGCAACGCTGTGCTGGCTGAGGTTGCGGTGTGTATCTTGTAATGATGTGCGTTCGTCGATGACTTGGCCAGTTGGCTGGGATGGTGGAATTGCTGGTGCTTGTTTGAAAATGAACGCGCACACCACACGAGCAAACCAGCAAACCAGCAAACTCTATGGGCGTGATGGGCAAGCTGCAATCTCGCCGCTCTTGGCTATGCGCAATGCAGCGCAAGGTGCAGCTCATCTGTCTTTGTCACTTCACATCGTCATCAGATGATAAGAGGCTGATCACTTCCCAGAAAAGTCAGCAAGGGAAAGAAAGGCTTGGCTTGCATTGCCTTGCACGGTCACGACGGCCAAAAGTGATCGCAATTCAAACGCGCCTGTTTCGTGGAATTGAGGCCCAGGTCCTACATTAAACGGGAAGTGATTCGGGCCGCCAAAAGCCCGAACGATTATTTCCACTGCTCGTACAACTTGTACGTAGTTCTGTAGTTCAACTGTTCAAGAACACAAGTAGAACAAGACAACACAACTACGGAGAGCTTGTCTCCTTATCTCTCTGTCTCTCCCTCTCTCCCTCTCTCCCTCTCTCCCTCTCTCCCTCTCTCTCTCTGTGTGCAGTACACTGGCGACACAAGAGGCACAGTCGGTGCCCTCCTGTCGTTTGAAAAAACAACCACACACACACACACCAAAAAAAAAAGAAATGCGCACCCAACAGGATTCGAACCTGTGCGGGCAGAGCCCAAACGATTTCTAGTCGTTCGCCTTAACCACTCGGCCATGAGTGCAAGCAACATCAACTGTGTTGTGACTTCTGGTGCACAAATTGTCTTCTTCATCTCTACTCCACTCGCAACATTGACAGCTTTCCACAAAACAATCCATCCTTCCTCACCACAAACCAAAACCACACCACACACCACACCATGTCGTCCACTTCGACCAATGGAAGCGCCTCCGCTGCAGGGACAACAACGGCAGCCGCCCGCCGCACCGTGAAGCAGCACCCAAACTCCCACCTCAACAACCCAAGCAGCCTGAACCTGCTGCAAATCCACGAAGCCAGCCACAGGCAGTTTGTGCGCCTTCTCCAGGCCCTCCAGAACACCCGCAAGGTGTGATGTGATACACACAGGATACAGCCTGAGCGGAGTTGAGGGAGTTGAGGGAGTTGAGGGAGTTGAGGGAGTTGAGGGAGTTGATTGCTGCTTTGTTTGAGAGCGGCGTGGAGAGGGGGGGGTATGTTGCGCGAGCACTTTTGGCTTTGCACTCTGCGTGAATCGTGCTGTGCTGTGTCGTGTTGTGCTGTGGTTTGGTGTGCTTGTCTGTGTCTCTGTGTATGTCTGTATCCAATGTGTCCATGTCATTCTACACACACACACACACACATTTTCTCTCTCTGTTTCTCCTCTTCTGCGCTGTGATTTGCTTTGTTTTGGTGTGTTACAACGTCCACAGGAAGCCCCTGCTGCGCTCATCTTCGATGACTTTACATATGAGCTCATTCTTCGCATAGTGCCAGAGTGCCGAGTGAGTGCAGTGTGTCTTGCTCGTCTGCACGCTTGCTCGTCTGCATGTCCGCACATTTCCCCGTGCGCATGGTGGGCCTTGGTTTGGCTTTGTACAGAACACTCCGCCCTGCGCTGCGTGGACCCTGTGTACAAGGGCACGTGTGTGTGTGTGTGTGTGTGTGTGTGTGTGTGTGTGTGTGTGTGTGTGTGTGTGTGTGTGTGTGTGTGTGTGTGTGTGTGTGTGTGTGTGTGTGTGTGTGTGTGTGTGTGTGTGTGTGTGTGTGTGTGTGTGTGTGTTGCATCCTCATGTCGATGTTCACCTCGAGCTTCTGCTGCTCTGCCACCCACCGTCCCCGACGCCCCCCCCGCCTCCTGTTATGCTCCTCGTCTCCCCCCTCCTTTCTCAGCCGGCGCTCATTGACATTGTCGCGAACATCAACCAAGCCGAGCTGTGCATCGAGCAGCGCAGCGTTGATGTGGTCATCTTTGCTGTGGCCCCTTCTCCCGCGAACATGAAACGCATTGCGACGGTGATTCGGTACGTCAGCCATTGCTACCCCATATATGCAGCTCACGGCACACAACCTCAACATGTTCTCCTTTCAGCCTGAACACCCCGACCACATACCTCTTCTCAGATGCTCACATGTCTTCTTGCGTCGTTCCATGGTTTGTAGCAAGTTTACGTCCGACCAGCGCGACTTCCACCTCATCAACGTGCCCAGAGAAACAACTGTCTCCAGCATCATCCTGAAGGTGCACACTTGTTTGTGACTGGTTGCACGCGGTGTTGAGTGGTTGCCTGGTTTTGGTTTCGTTCCATGCCATGTGGATTGTCAGTGGGCAGCCCACTGCACAGCGCCCAAGCCCAGTTTGGCTTGCCACACCCACGCCCTCATGTCTCATTTTTTGCCCTGCATTTCTCTATGCGCATGTGTGTGTGTGTGTGTGTATGTGTGTGTGTGTGCGTGCGGCTGTTATTGCGGTGCTTAGGAGGAGGATGTTGCATCTGAGATTCGGTCGCAGCACGAATGGCGCGTGAACGTGATTCCCCTGGACCCGGACCTTATGACGATGCACAAGCCGCACGTGTTCCGTCAATACATGGTCGACAACGACAGATCGTCCTTCAAGGACATTGCACTCGCCATTATGCACATTCAGGTGCGTGCGTGCATGCGTCCAGCAGGATTGCCATTTCATTGCAACCAAGATTCGCCATGATACGCATGCATGCAACTCACTCCAAACGCTTGCTTCGTATTCTTTGGTGCAGCGCATGTATGGCATTATTCCACGCGTCGCGTACAAGGGCCCTGCTGCCGCTGTATGTTCGCCAGCTGCTTTGTACCTGCCCTGCTCTCGCATAACCTTGTGAAATCACACACACACACACACACCTACACATGCATCAACACACATTCGTACGCACACACACACACACACACACACCTGAACGCAACCTCACGCAACCACTCCTTGCATATTCCCTGTCCCTCCCCGCCCTTCAGGCTGTGACGCGCATGCTGCAGCGGATGGCGCGGGAGGATGCAGACCCACCACACGTCGCTCCCGAGATTGAGTCCCTCGTCATCATCGACAGACAGGTGCGCACATCCTTACTGCCTGGTTGAGTTGTGCTTCAAACGTATGCGTGCGTACTCGCATATTTACTTGCACATGCGTGTGTTTGTGGCATGTGTTCGCACCATCCAAACCCATCCGTTGACATGTGCCTCGTACTTTTGACACCACAACCACACCCCTGTGTGCTGCATTGCCAGATTGATTGCGTGACCCCGCTGTGTTCGCAGCTCACATACGAGGGTCTCATTGACGAAGTCTACGGCATCAACCTCGGTACAGCGCCCATCTTTGTGTGTGTGCGCGCGCGCGCGTGTGTGTGTGTGTGAGTGAATGCGTGTGTGTGTGTGTGTGTGTGTGTGTGTGTGTGTGTGTGTGTGTGTGTGTGTGTGTGTGTGTGTGTGTGTGTGTGTGTGTGTGTGAGTGAATGCACATGTGTGCTTGCTTCCGTCGTGCCATCTTCCTCAATTCAAGCGCACGTGTTTTGTGTACCACCTGTACGAATATCACTTGCCGCTGCGAGTGCTCAACTGCCGCTGTCCACACTCTCATGCCCTGCTGAATGCATGTCCCGGGCCCATCTCTCACTCGCTTCCTCTCCGGCATATCTGCCTGCCTGCACCATCTGCCGCCATCACGATCTGCGACTGCATGCTATACCTGCGCGATGTGATTGGCTCCTGCCCCATCTGCGTTTGCCTCGTGTGCAGGCTTTGCGACGGTGCCCAGTGCGCTTGTGCCGGACACCCCGCCAGAGCAAAAGACGCGTCGTGTTGTTCTCAATTCAAGCGTGCAGGTCCGTTGACGTCACGCCATGAGCAACACAGGGGAGGGATGGTTGTGGTGATGCTGATGTGACAGCGTTATCCGTTGTGATGATTCCAGAGCAACACTTTGTTCGTGGGTGTTGGATGCTGTGACAGGTGCCATTGCAGCCCACACACAGCTGTCAGAAGGCTTGCACTCGCCGCCAATTCAACAATACAGCACACAACCTTTCTCTCTCGCACACACACACACACGCGCGCGCGCGCGCACGCACGTGCGTTCCCCTGCCCAAACTACCATACACTGTTATTCACCTTCACCGGTCCATGCTACTTGCTGCTGTCGGCTGTCGGCTGCTGCAGTTGTTCAACGACCTTCGAGGACTTCATTGGCTACAGGTTGGCCCGCTGCTTGCCCGCCGCTCCAAGATGCTGCGACAGGATGTCAGCGAGGGCAAGGGCTCTCTCAACGAGCTCACGCGCATGGCGCAGTTTTCGTCTAAGCTGCATCACATCAAGGTTGGCACCGCATTCCCACTGCCATCATTGCGTTGCATGAGCTGCGCTGCATCTCCGATGCGTGGCGCGCGCCGTGCGTGTGTGTGTGTGTGTGTGTGTGTGTGTGTGTGTGTGTGTGTGTGTGCGCGCGCGCGCGCTCAGCTGCTTGAACGTGTTTGCGGGGCTTTATGTTGTATTCACACGCATACGTTCAATGTTGTTTTGTGACACACGCACCTATTTTTTATTTTTTTGATTGCGCTGCAAACAACAGGCTGAGCAGAAGTTTCTGCCCATTCACACGAACATTGCGACGGAACTGAAGAAGATTCTCACCACGGATGAGTTTATGCAAAACTACCACACGCAGCACGTACGTGCAAGCTTGTTCACGCGCAACAACCCCACACAACAATTACCATCACTTCATGCTGTGTGCTCTACTCGTCCATCAATCTCGGGTGCCTGAGCACCGTTGAGACACCCACCCATCAACCATCACCCATTACCCATCACCCATCACCCATCACCCATCACCCATCACCCATTACCCATGAACCACCACCCCACACACAGGCGATCCTGGGCATCCAGTCGCAGGGCCGCATGTTCAAGATGCCGTCGTTCTTCAAGCGCGGCGGCGATGCGGAGATGGCGTACATCGAGGACTGCATTGGCCGCGTTGAGCCCCTCTCAAAGGTCCTCCGCCGGCCCCAATTGTGCTGTGTGTTGTCTTGTGTTGTCTTGTCTAGTGTTGTGTTGTCTAGTGTTGTGTTGTCTTGTGTTGTGTTGTGTTGTCTAGTGTTGTGTGTGTGGAGCCAAGACATCGACGTCGTTAGTTCCAAAGGATGAGATGGAACATTCAAGTGTGGCCTGGCGTTCTTCATGTACCAGTCTCACGCAAGCGTGTATGTTGGCAGGTGCTGCGGCTGTTGTGCCTTCGCTCCCTCGTCAATGGTGGGCTCAAGCAGTCCACGCTCGATTTCTTCAGGTCTGTCAACGCGTATTCATTTACACTCATGAGTGTACTTGGGTGTCAGTGTGCACATGGCTCACACACACACACACACACACATACACATGGAGGAGCGCCTCCTATTTCTGCACCCTCCTCATCCCTCCCACTCACAACACACACTCGCCCATATGCTTTGAATTGTGCGCTGCTGCGTTGCTTAGACGTGAAATTTTGCAGACGTACGGGTCAGACTTTGTGCTGACGCTCGACAACTTGACCAAGGCTGGACTGCTCACAACCCACAACCCGGTGCGTGGCAGCTGTAGTGTTGTTCGCTCTGTCATGCTCAGATGCGTGTCTGTGGCTTGGCTCGTCATACAGACACGATGACGAGCCGCAGCAGCTTGTGACACAGCGCACACTCAGACACCTCTCAATACGGATATACACACACGTTCGCACTCTTACATGCACACATCGATACATCGATACACATTCACTCACTCACACACACTCTCTCTCATTCGCATACACACACACACTCTCTCTCTCTCTCGCGTGCGCGCACGTGCACATCTCCTCCATGCGCATATGTGGATAGGAGCGGGCGACGTTTCCGCACTTGTCGCGGGAGTTCCGGCTGATTGAGGACGTTCCAGATGACGATTCGCAGCTCGACGACTACCACTTTACCTACATGGGCTACGCACCTCTCAGGTTTGGGGCTGTGGATGATTGGTTGCTTGCTTGGTGTGCGTGTCTGGTTGCGTGAATTTGCTCTCGGCTGCGTTGCCGTCGGTTGTGCAATTCGCTCGTTCACTGGTTCGATGTATTCGGTCGCTCGCTGGTTCATCGTTGACACTGATGTCTGCCGGATGCTGCAATTGTATTGGTGCTCCCGTCAGCATTCGCGTCGTGGAGGAGCTCGTCAAGCCTGACAGGACTGGGCTCATAACCAAGGACGAGGTATGACCCGCGTGCGCACCCAACAATCCATATCTTCATCCACATGCAGTTGCGCTTCCACATCCACCTTCTCACATCTGCTTACGCACACACATGCACGCACACACACTCTCTCTCGCTCCAACCTCACACGCCCTCACACCCCGGTTGCTGCTGTGCATCAGGTGCTGAAGCTGATGCCTGGCCCACACGACGAATGGCGTCAGCCGCTCCCACCGGGACTGCAGCCAAAAGGTCGCGGCTGACACAATTTGTACACTGTGTTGAATTCCTTGCAAACATCTCAACATCACAATCATGATCGGTCAAGAACATGTGTTCTGGTGAAAATACATTAGCGCCATGCACCCTTGCTCCTACATTTTCGCACCTGTTCACGCAATTTCACACACACACTGACACACACACACACACACAAACTCACAATCACGCGCACACACACACACACACACACACACACACACACACAAACTCACAATCACGCACAATCACGCACACACACACACACATTTTCACACACTCACGCATATCCCCCTTCCTACCCACCTGTAGCAAGCGACGAGTCGCAGCAGCGGCTGCCGGTGACGGTCGTGTGTTTCGTGGGCGGAATCACCCAGGCCGAGATTGCAGCGCTTCGCTTCCTCTCCCGCCGACAAGGTGATGTGACGACGATGCAGGTGGACACGTGCTGCCGCTTCTCGGCAGCCATTGGCACACTGCCTGCTTGTGCTTGCCAGTCCCACGCACACACACACACACACACTGACACACGCACTCTCTCTGACACACACACACGCACACACACACACGCACACACACACACACACACACTCACAC